TGAAAGATCAGCCATAATCTATTAATGCTCTTGTTGTTCAAAACTCATATGATTTGTATTTTTCTGTGGAACAGGATTTGGTCATTTAGCACAGAGAGACAAACTTTCTGACTCCAAAACCACCATTGCCCACAAATATGATTATAATTAAAAATGAAGAAAAAAAGAATTACAGAAGTTTGGAGGTGAATTAATATAATAAATATATTATGATTCTTTTTTATTTTATCTTATTTCAAAGCTTGTTTTGTTTCCCAACAACCATAGAGTGTAGGTGAAAAACAGTATGTGAAAAGAGAAGTATGTCCGAATTCACAGTATTCATAAAACAGTAGGTAAAAAGTACCCAGATACCCTACGACTTCCCGGATGAAATTCTGAAGTGCGCATCTGATGGACAGTTTACTATCCCATGAGGCCACGGGAGCGGATTTGTGAATGTCAGTAAAGTGATGCAACTGGCATTGTAGGTCATGTCCTGATTACAATCATACGATACACATTCATAAAGAACATACTTTTCAATCACTTAAAAGAAGTTAAAAGAAGCACCTGCTTATAGAGTATGTGATTCTACATACAGCCCTTGACTTTGAACTCTAGGGATCTTTCTCACCATCATCAGGACCTTGAAGTATCAGATACTGTGTGGTCTCTGCACTGCCATCCTGTGCACTCGTAACTGCAATACATCCTGTAAAATAGGAACAGAAACACAATATTGACATTGAATACTACATAAACATAAAGATGACAATGTCTACCATATTAAATACCTTGGCTGTGATAAAAAAGAAGAGGTAAGAGGTTTTTCTACCATTCATAATGTCAGGTCCAATGGTGGATTCGATGATCTTGTCGATAGCTGAGCCGAGATCTGAGGACGTGGAAGCAGTGGAATCAGAAACCATCATTCCTCCTTCAGAAACAGCGCTGGAGTGGACCAGGACCTGGACAGACTCTGACACCAGGACCGACTGTGTCACTGTGGAGACGCTGGACACACTGGTTGACTGCGCGACAGAAGAGGAGTCTGGGAGATGAACTCTTCGCACATCTGTACTGGAGCTTGTCTCTGGGATAAAAACCTAGAGCGCAACCCAAAAAAATAACCTTGATATGAATTACACAGTAACATGTGGAGATATAAATATGTGGGTTTGTCTTACCACAAGTCCCTCAGAGCTCTGTCCTACGTGACAGTCTGATTCTGGGGCCGCCGCATCGCTGCTATCGGCAGACATGGCTTCTGAAGACTCCATGCCCATGCCGCTCTCTGATGGCTCCTCCATCCCAGAATGCCCCACATCACTGCTGCTCTCCACCTCCATCTCCTCAGAGTCCATCTCTGCTCTGTGGGAAGTGTCTGTCACTCAGTAATGCAGAACTAAGTTGGACATTGCATTCTGAATGATACATGCAAGGGCATGGGTGATGGCAAGCGCATAAAGTGTAATGAAGTAATCATTTTATTGAAAAATGTTTTTAAAATGTATTTTGATGTAGAAACATGACTTTGTGGAAGTTCAGTATTTGAATATTTATATTAACGATATTTTAACAAAGTTTGAAGCCAGTAAGAATTTCTAAATAGAAATTAAGACCTTCATTCAGCAAGGATACTTTCAATTTATCAGCAAATACTATTTTGAATAATTGCTGTTCTTTTGAACTTTCTGTTCATCAAACATTATCATGGATTCCACAAAAATATTAAGCAGCACAACTGTTCGTTCAAATAATATAACATAAAATAACAAAAAGAAATGTTTCTTAAGCAGCAAAGCAGCATATTAGAATAATTTCAAAAGGATCATGTGACACTGAAGACTGGAGTAATGCCAACTGAAAATTCACAGAAACAATATAGGCCTACTTATTAAAATATATTAGAATATAAAACAGTTAATTTAAAATGAAATAATATTTCACAATCTTACATTTTTTTAACTGTATTTTTGATTTAATAAATGCAGCCTTGGTGAGCAAAAAAGAATTCTTTAAAAACCTAAAAAAAAAAAAAAGTATGAATATGAGTAAAATTTTTGAACAGAAATGTACACATAAAATTATATATTATATACACACATTGTTTCTCACTATTAAAATAATTCATACTATATATAAAAAAAAATAGATGCGTTAAAATCATATTATATTGGAGATACAGTGGGTTTATATAATTGTTTCTAGAATTATATAATTGTGTAAAGTGTTTTGCAGTAATCTGTGAGCTATGAAAATAAAAACCTATGTAAAAATGCTCAATAGCCTATTTTCTTTCGTTCAGTTTTAACTGGACAGATCCACGTGCATATTTTCTGCAGAATTAGCACAAAAGCCTTGTTGCAATCAAGTTGCACAACTAGATTTTCTAAATAAACTAGAATTTTCTAAATATTTATTGCATCACAAGAGTACACTTTTCTTAATATTTTGTGTTGTATTGTATTTATTGTTGTTTCCTACTCTGTGATGCATGTCTACTGCTGTGTTAGTGTCAAGTTCCCCCAGAGGGTGAATACAGTCGTCTTGTGATGGCACCTTTCTAGGTCACTCAAGCACATAATAAGCTTACCAGCAAAACCACAAGTCAGCGTGGTCCCCCATTAAATTCATTTAAATAACAGAAAACACCATCTAAAACATTTGATTTCTCATGTCCTCAAATGACATCAATCCCTCCCCACCAAAACACCCATCTAGCCGTGGTTGGGACATAAAATCTTTCCCTTGACTCAAACTTATCAAGGACAAAAGGGTATTTGTCCTCGCTCAACATGTCACGTTCTGATACTAAGCACACCAACAATTTTATGAAAAAAATGTCACTACATTAGACGCTAATAACACTTGAGTCCTCTTATGAACCGTGGCAACTCTTTGCTCGTTTCTATCTCTATACTAAGCGCGTGTATGTGCTGCCCTTCCTCCTGCCTGCTCGCGCAGCGCCATTTTCCCTCCCGCCGCTACGAGTTAATTTTTTTCCGCTCAGGCGATATGAAGAACCGCTCGGGGACCTCGAGGGCCTGCGCGAGCAGGGAGAGCCAGTTCGCCCGAATGTTTTTCTCTTGCCCATCATGGAAGAAACTGTATTTGTACACAATTCTACACCATTATTTTGAGCTACGATTTTTTTCTTACCTTGAATGGACGAGTATTTTGCTCTTCACGCTCGCGAATGAGGCGAAATAAAATAGACCTTTGAAAGCGAATAGTTGGTAATGGTTTCTAGTCGGGCGCCATCAGCGTCTCCTCGCTTCCTGTCCTCAAAGCTGGCCGGAACTCATTTATCCGTCACGGGAAAAAGACGAGAGGGAGAGACCCTTAATCTGTTTTATAATGTATCACGATTTATTTTTAAAAGTGATGTTCTATTTAGAGAACATGAATATCGAACATCTCACTTAATCTTTTAAGTGTTTTGTCAAATAATGTTGTGAGCCGGAGGACTAATTGCTCTCAGAGGATGAAACCGCCGAGTGTCTCGCGGATTAATATGACACCGGTTGTTTATCTTAAGATCCTCGTTTATAATTTTTGATTACGCTAAAATAAACATCTTTTATTGCACATATTGAATGTGAGGGGTTATACACGATTCAGTTTACATTTTAAAACAGTTTACATGTCTGTTAAATCTGTTGTGGGGATATAGATGAGACGTGTACCCCACTGCATATCCTGTCATTCCGCGTGAACTTTTAATTTAGGTTTTACTTGTAAAATTAGTCCAGCACTTTCACTTGTTTTAGCATTTTCTCTTACGGTGAATCGGCAAATCATTTAGAGCAGCGTTAAAATATTCAATTCAAGTGTATTTGTATAGCGCTTTTCACGATACAAATCGCAGCTTTACAGGAAATTAAGTTTCTACAATATATTTAGTAGTAGCTTATCAGTGGTGACTATGTCAAGTTGATGTACATATGGCAGAAATGTACAGTAAAAATCAGTTAATGACGTAATCAAACAGACGATACACACTTAACAGCAATGATTGTATTTTTGAAAGAATTTAAAATGTATCTTAATACTATTTCATCCTCTGTAAATAAGAAAGCGAGAAGAACAACCTCAATTTGTAATGACTTTAATTTGTATACTCTAATTGAAATATACATTTATATCTTACCATCATGTTTTTGTTTTTTTTCCCCTTTCTTCCAATTTGTATTTTTTCTTTATCTTTTTCTTTCTTTCTTTTTTTTTGTCCTGTATGTTCAGATGACATTGTACATATTGTTGATAAATGTTGTGTACTCTATACAAAGTTGTATATCTTTAATGTCATCTTTGTGATGTTTGCATTCATAATAAAAAAAACAGCAATGATTATATGTTGCAATCAAACTTATAGCAAAATTTGGTAGTTCTGTGTGTTGTTTCAGGGTTAAATATCAATGGACAATCAGATTGCTCTTTGTGTCAGTATTCCTATCATTTTAATATCAACAGATATTTCCATATCAGAAGTTCCCCTGAAATTACATGTTTATTACATTCCTCATAAGCAGTACACTTCCTGACACTTTAAATCATTATAAGTTCTTCTGTTTGTATTTATGAGTGACTGTGTGTGTGTGTGTGTGGTTGTGTAAATGTTTACATTAATTTCTACTGCATACAAGTATGAGATTTTCTTTCGATATTAAAGGCAGGGTATGTGATTTTTCAAAAACACTTTAGAAAACTGATTCGGGCCGAATAGCAAAACAAACTTGTAGCCAATCAGCAATAAGGGGCGTGTCTACTAGCTGCTAAATGTCAAACACTAGTGTGGCAACAGCTTAACATTTTCTGCAGTAATTATATTTTGAATATTAAAGAACTATAACGTTCTAGCTTTGTGAAATTCAAATTTGCTGCATTTTCAAATATGATTCTTTGTCTAGATATAATGATAGAGCAGTCGCACAAGGGTTGAATGGTCTTGTTTACAAATTTATTGAGTAATCATAAACAATGCAACAAACAAATAAAAATATAAATAAGTGGAATGTGGAAAATTAAATTAATAATATTAATATTATCATTTACACCAGGCAAATGATTTCACAATATGCCAAAATCTGGGCTAAATAACATCTCAATATTAGCTCTAAGGCTAAAAATAAACCTTTGCTTAGAAAAACATGTGAGTGGGGTCAATACACAGAGAATGGATGCTTTGTTGACAACAAATGCATTTAGGCTACAATGACTCCACTCATACAATTTACAAACAAAGTTAATTCCTAGAATTAGACTGGCAGTGCCTCATTGTAGTTTGATAGAACAAGATAATAGTTTCTCTTAATGTGCTGTTAAGAAACTCATCATGGACAAAGCAGTTATATAGTAAGCTGAAATAAATTATAAGACCACGTTAAAGCTGACAGACAAATGTGCCTAACATCCCGTTTCATGTGCCTAAGATCATTTCAGTGTTAAAACAGTTCTTTTCCTATAACAGTTAAAGTCAAAGTCCCCATAACAGAGACTTTAAATTTAATACATTCTGGCTGTCTTCCTCACTACATTTTACACTGAAGAGAAATGGTTTCCCTATTAAAAAGGGCTCTGTCATCAGGTTAGGATGTTGGATGTTTTCACTGTGCACAGCGACTGCACATCTTAGCATTTTAGGAGGTCGTACTTCACATAACCCACTCGGTCAACCTGCCTTCTGGCATTCATTCTCCAGTAGAAATTCTCCCGGCAGAAGTAAAAGAATCCTGAAAAATAGCAGAAACAAATGTCATTTGCTTGATCAGATAAATCAGAGTAGTTAATCAGACTTTATTAACTATTTTAGACTATTCATTTTTAATTACCCTTGTAGAGGAACACATCATGTGAATCAATGGGCACGCCACCAAAAACGGAGTCAGTGAATCGTGGGTATCCTCTGTCTATCATCTGAGCCTTTACGTCAAGTCTGTGACAATAAATAAGAGATAAGAATACTGTGGAAAAACTACAGTGAAAGAGCTTTACTATTGCACATTGCAGTCCTGAAGCACTGTTCTCATACCTCCAGAAGTTCTCCCCATTAAACAGGAGCACCTTGCCTTTTCCTCTCTGCACAGCTCCATCCACTCTGTCCAAGTTGCTTGGCAGGCTGAGCTTCTCGATTTTACGTGGTCCAAACACCTCATTTCCAGTATAAACCCAGAACTGTTTTTCTGTGTGCATGCGATACAGTTGAAAAAGCACTGTTATATATCAACTTCAACAAGTTCGGCAATAATGGCGAAATATCTCAACCAGGTAAAAAGTACCTGCAAAGAAGTAGATCTTTGTCGTGAGCTGGTCCTCAAAGGCTGTGTTAATGACGGCTGGCAGGGCAGGCCACTTCTCAGATATCAAGAAAGGACCTTTGCGTTCTCCTTTGTTTGAGATCTTCCAGTAGTGCCTTTGAGAGAGAATTTAGAAACATGTAATTGAAAATAAGGCATAATGAAGTTCGTTTTCGAAGTTGTGTTTGTAAGTTCATAACACTACATATGTAGAGTTATAGCTCATACCCATCTTTGAAGAAATGAAGCTCTTTCTGGATTTCAGTGATGGCATCAAATTCCTTGATTTGGCAAGCATCCTGTGAAGGGTCGACATGTACTGTGGTAGAAACAGTGGTTGTTTTCTCACTCGGGGTGGATTTAGTTGGCAAAATCGGAGAGGAAGTGGTGAACTGTGGTTCTGGAGGAGTGGGATCAGGGCCAGTTTTAGGTCCTGAAATGAAATAATTCAATAATATAGCTATTAAGACCAGAATTGTAAAAGACTATTGGCTTTCAACATCAAAAATCTTGAATTTTGAATAAGAAAATGCACAGTAATCCTAAAAATCAATAAATGATGGATAAATACCATAGAGATACTGAATGCCCTCAATATCATCACGATGCAGAGAGAAATCCTCTACATATTTGTACATGGGATACATCAGTGCGTCTTTGATGTTGGAGTGGTCCAAACCAAGTGCATGTCCAAACTCATGAGCAGCCACCAGAAACAGACTGTATCCTGTGAGAGAAAAGACATGTTAGCCAATGTCTCACTTTCATATTTTTTATAGTGTCTGAAAGAGATGATTATCACTTACTCCCTGCATTCCCTCACCTGGAGGGTAGGCATGAGCCAGCAGCCCATCTTTCCCGTCAAAGGGGTAGGGATCGCCGTGATCTGAAACAAAAACAGCAGCTCAATCAAACAGTGTTAAATCGTAATACTTTAATCTATTACAAAAACTCAACGCACCAGCTTTGCCAAAGGAGATCATGATGTCAGCAGTGCCGTCATAGAGGCGCGTGAACGTCAGAGGGGTAACGTCACTCCAGACTTTGAAAGCTCTGGCAAAGGCATCATCGGTCAAAGAGGCTTCCATGTCGGGTGAGTAGTTCAAAATCCTATTTATCAAAACAATGCAATGGATTACAGCGTGTTCCTTACAAATCTATGAGATGTGCTGTATTCAAGGTGTAGATGATGTAGATAATATCCCACCTGTATGTAACGTCTTTGTGATCCCACTTCAGGTCTCCTGCGAAAGTCTGATAGCTGCGGATGTCTGGGACCCCACAGCGAGGCTGCTTCATGGCATCAATCGTGGGCTGGTCAAGAGAGCCCGTCTCCTCCAGCCCGAGCTGCTTCTGGAGCTTCTGCAGTGCTTTAGAAGTGGACACGACTGCCTGCAGTCCGCTCTTCTGGAGAACATCTATGTAGCCATAACGCTTCAGGTACTCCTGGAGTTAAAGATTTAGATAAAAGAGGAATTCATATAGAATAGGAAAATCAATTGCATTGTACTATTTTAAAAGCAGATGAACTAAAACTTGATATACTCACATCTGCCAGCTGTGTGTCTGTCATGTTCTTGATCACATCTGCAGGGAACGTCACATACACGGATTTGAGCGGCACACACCAGGCTCTTAAAGAACAGGTCCCCAGAACCAGAAACGTCAAGACTCCAAGTCTCATGATTAGCGTTTCAAGTCACAGATCAAAGTAAAAATGTGAAACTATAAGACCAGTCTTTGAAGGCGATGAAGTACAAGCAATGTTGTTGTTTCCTCTTCTCCTGCTCTGTCTGTCTTCTCTGGTGTCCTGAAGGCAGTATTTATGTGATACCCAGGGCTTAGTCACTCACCCACCCACCTCCAGTAGGTCATTTCAGCACTCCCACTTACTAGCACTTGCCCACTGAGAAGAAGTGATTTTTTTTTCATCCATTCAAAAAAGAAGGGGCTTTCCAACAACCTCACATTAAGCTTGAGGACACACACAAAATATAACAAACAAAGACTGTCTTGTCTTTAATCAAGTTTCTTAAAATAAATTGTGACTCCTAAATATAAACATAAGTATTATTTAAAGCATCTTTTGAAATAAATATAATACATTTAATAAACATAAATATATCGTATAAATAATTGTAAGAAATTGGCTATATGAATATGACTGTATTTATGTAAAAAAAAAAGAGGAAATAAATAAATAGTACATATGTACATATTTTAGCAACTGGATTTTTTCAGCAATTGGTTGTATGAGCATTAAAGTACTTAAGAACAAGAAATATAAATAAATAAATAGTATATATTTTTAGCAATGATTTATAAAAGTATAAATGTATTTATGGAAAATAAGGATAAATAAATAAATAGTATATAATTTTAGCAGATTGCTTTATGAGTGTAAATGTATTTATGGAAAACAAACAAACAAATATATATTATGCATTTTAGCAGTTGGCTATATGAGTGTAAATGTACAAAAATATAAATTAATTTTTCTTTTGTTCACAGTGGAGGAAGGTAAATGCAGGTAATGAGCACCAGAGAAAGTTGTGTTTGGATCAATTCCTGTCAAGAACAACGAATGGGCATAAAGTCATTCTGTATTTGAAAACATTGGGAAACCCCTAAACTGAAATAGTGCCAGGTGAGCAGCCTCATTGCACAATCTCCTTATATTTTTCAGCAGCATTGATGAAGCTGAGTGACGAATACATACAGGTGTCTTGCCAACACAGCTCTATTAACTTGTGCAATGTTGTGCAAGTGTATTCGAGTGCGCTGTGTTGACATGCAGGTTCTGAATAGTTTTGTGCCCAGAGGCAAAGGAAATCCTAAACCATAAAGGGCCATAAATTACCCTAGTTTCTGCAAAAAATGCAGAAGCCATCAGCTGTTTAGTTCAGAAAAAGTTGCCTAATTGCAAATGAGGATGTAAGAGTGTTGTTAAGTGATGCAATCATATGCTAATTTCATTGATGTGTGTCTGTGTCCGTTTTTGGGGAAATTCTGTTACACACACCTCACATAATGTAAAACACTGACGAAATATTTGATATCATTGCCTTTTCTAGTTATACACGTCAACAAATGCATCAGTAGTACATTAATAAACTGTGACACAAACTTGGCAACGCCTGGCATATTACTAAAAGTATCTTACATGTCTCTATTTTGGACATTAAAATTCATTTCCTCTCTCAATTGTACACTTGATAATGAATCAGCAGCTACAGTGAGGGTGGTGACTGCCTGTATGTTTGCTCTTTTAAGGACATGAATTAAATTAGTAATACAGAATAAGGTAGATAAAAGTGATATGGTTTTTAAACAGAACAATCTAAGTGGGACAAATCTGAACATTTAGTAATTGATTCTGACACAGTGATGGGAAAATACTGGATAAAACCTGATTGTATTAAGACATTCTTGTGTCTGAGACACTTCCGACACAAATGCAATATCCTTTTTAATTATTTCATCAGGATTGAAACACAAACTTGATCACAATCAGGCATTAATCACTTTCAACAACATAATAACACATAACACATAATTGCCCATAATTAGACAACATGAGAAACCAGGAAATAGCAGCATTCAGAATTCAAATATAAAAGCTTTTTTACATCTGCCATCCATTCTCACATCAGTGCCAGTGTTTTCACGTGCATAAATGAGCCCCATGTCGCCTTCTGAGGATTCATATGTTGTTTACTGAAATTGTTTCTTTGGTCATTTTCAGATTGAGTGGACGCCAAGGGCAAGGGACACATGTTTGAGTTGTTTGTGACATGACATAAAACATTTCAGGACAAGTGGATCCCAGTTGAGGTTTCGTCGCTTGCATGTTTTACACCCAGAATGTTTTCATAAACAACTAAAAAGTGGTTTGGGACTGTAATCTGTATGTATATGTAGGCCTACTATTTTTCTGGTTTACCTGAATTTAGAGTGAACTAATATAGAAAGCATGACTAATATAGCAAAATATCGAAAATATTGAGAGCATTTTATCAGAAATAGTTTTTATGGTCCACTGTAATGTCTGTATCCTGTGGGTGGAGTTGTATTGGAAAATTGATTTGATTTGTTAAAAGGATAATAAAAATTACAATATAATGAGGTCACTTTTTAACCAGTGTGTGTGTGTGTGTGTGTAGGGTTGGTGTAGGGCGATAGAAAATATAGTTTGTACAGTATAAAAACCATTACGCCTATGGAGAGTCCCCGTAAACCACAAATGCGAGTATGTCTGTGTGTGTGTGTGTGTGTGTGTGTGTGTGTGTGAGAGTTTGTGTCTGGGCATTGATGTGTGAGTTTAAATTTGGGGTGTGTCACTCACATAATGGCAGAGGCGGACAGTAACTAAGTACATTTACTTGAGTATTGTACTTAAGTACACTTTTTGAGTATCTGTACTTTACCCATAATGGTGAGTAAGAAATTATTAGGAAATGTGTCCAAAATTTGCAATTCCTGAAACAAATTCTTCTCATGTATTTTCACATATCTATATATGCTGTATGAGATGTTTATCAGATAATTTCAATTCAAATAGTAGCTTAGTCCTGCATCATATTTACATAATAATAGCTATATATCTATACATATATATAATCCAAATAGAAATAATAGAACAATATTTTTTACAAAAAATTTTGAGGTAGCGTAAGTCCACATGAAGACTTGTTTAATGCATAAATTGTGCACAATTTTCTCAGTAGACAACAAGGGTGCGACTCTTTAAATTTAAAGACAAAACAAGGGAAATATATTGGTGTTTATGTTTTTGAGACATACGGCTGGCATTTGATGTGGAGAGCTCTGTTGTTCATTTAAACCCCTTTTGAGGACAAACTTTCCTGCTACAAGGAGGGATGTCAAACTTGGACACAATACAAGAAAATAATTTCAATATGAATTAGCATAACAACAACAACAGGCGAGCAACATTTAGAAAAGCAACCAAAATCCACAAAGCATAGCAAAACTTGCTGATGTGGTCCCATTTGGTTTTTGCACTGAATGATTTCTCATGTCATATAGTATTTCCATATTCTGACTTACTGACATTCATGGTAATCAAGTCCTGATCCTGTAGCTATAACTATTTATAAGCTGGGTTAATTAACTGGACATGTATTTACAATAATTTATGCACAATCATACAGGCGCTATTATTTCCATCTGTCACATTCCCAGATTTCATCCAGATTGCTTATGCGGAAACATCTGTATCTGTTTAAGTGCGGTGTCAAGTGAGTAATGAAAGACGGCTCCAGGGTTGTACAGAATGCCACAGTGTTTTTGCTATTTTACATCCAAAAAAGGCCTAGCACACGCCCAGCATCTACTGCTGGGAACAAAATATATCAACCTGCCTTGTTTGGCAACAGTAAATGTACCCTCTATTTGAGAAAACATTTCTCACACCATATATGTTTCAAGAGGAAACCACAGCAGACAGACACAGGTTATTGCATTACAAGGATGAGGTATGTCGTCAGTGTGAATGTGACTATGCAATGACACAGTGTGGTCTGAAAAGATCCTGTGTGAAAACAGCACCGGCCTGAGTGTGAGCTCCTCTGCGCTATTGTCGTTCACCCGTGGAGTAGATGTAAGGAACGTCAGCGACAAGTCCGCCTCTTCTTAAACTCTCAGGGTGAAGCATGAAAATAATTATGTCTTAAATGTCGCAGGCAGAGATTGCTAGCAATAAAACAACCACAGCTACATAGTCTGCCCTGCCCTGGTCTTCCTGCCAAAGCCTACACAGACACTGAACCCTCACACTTGGCTTTGTCCTGCTCCAGCAGGCTGCTTTTTAGGAAAACAATGCTCTAATAATATTTTATGATATGTTTGGCCCATGGTATTTGTGTTACGAAATGGCTGAACAACCGAATAAACTGTTCATAAATCATTGAGAGTAATTAGCAGGTGTAATGTATTCTAAGTTGCTTCAGAAGTATTGCAAGTATTACGTACAACAATAAAAAAGGATTGTTGGAAATTTACTTTTGGTACTTAAGTACTTTTAAAAGCAAGTACTTCTGTACTTTTACTTAAGTAAAAATCTGTCTTTACAACTTTTACTTGTAATGGAGTAATATTTGACCAGCAGTATCTGTACTTTCACTCAAGTAATGGAATTGAGTACTTTGTCCACCTCTCCATAATGGTGAGTAAGAAATTATTAGGAAATGTGTCCAAAATTTGCAATTCCTGAAACAAATTCTTCTCATGTATTTTCACATATCTATATATGCTGTATGAGATGTTTATCAGATAATTTCAATTCAAATAGTAGCTTAGTCCTGCATCATATTTACATAATAATAGCTATATATCTATACATATATATAATCCAAATAGAAATAATAGAACAATATTTTTTACAAAAAATGTTGAGGTAGAGTAAGTCCACATGAAGACTTGTTTAATGCATAAATTGTGCACAATTTTCTCAGTAGACAACAAGGGTGTGACTCTTTAAATTTAAAGACAAAACAAGGGAAATATATTGGTGTTTATGTTTTTGAGACATACGGCTGGCATTTGATGTGGAGAGCTCTGTTGTTCATTTAAAACCCTTTTGAGGACAAACTTTCCTGCTACAAGGAGGGATGTCAAACTTGGACACAATACAAGAAAATAATTTCAATATGAATTAGCATAACAACAACAAAACACACACACAAATGCCGGCAGGCTACATTTAGAAAGCAACCAAAATCAACAAAAGCATAACAAAATTTGCTGATGTGGTCACATTTGGTTTTTGCACTGTTGGTATTATACTATTATACTATTTCTCACTTCATACAGTATTT